AGGGAGCACCGCCCGGGCAAAGCTGCAGCCGCCTGAGGCTCTCTACAGAGCGCTCGGGCGGCTGCAGCATGGGGGGGGCTGGTTATGGCACCCCCCACCCGGCTGGCACCCGGGGCGGACCGCCCCCTCCGCCCCCCCCTTAGTGCGCCAATGGTAAGATTCACTATATATAGTGGAGCATAGGTGGGTCAGATAGTGTTTTTAAGACTATAGAGTCCTATAGTGTTCCTGTAACATGTTCAGGCTACCCATAGGTAAACTACTAGTCACTCAGTCCCAGTTAGTGTCTGGATAATTTATATTTTCAAAGTGATTAAAGTCTTTTCAATTTGAAAATGCCTTTTTCAATTTGTGACAGCCAATTCTCTTCATATATATTAATATTTGATTTGTAACATATTAATTTATAATTTTGTATTCATATACCAGATGTGGACAATCCTTTGGTGCTGACAAGAACACTCAGTTTATGTCAAACCATTCTTAAACAATTTGATCTTTAAAAATGTAGTGCTCCAGGGGATCGTAGGTGCCCAATAATATTTAACCAGGATATGTGCTGAAACGGCCAGATTACTCTTTTAACTGTTATATATTGTGATCTAGAACAAAAAATACAGAGACTTGTATTTCCATAACAGACCTGCACAGTATACAATACACAACAATCGGCTCTAATATTAAATGATTGCACCTTCACTTTTTGTATTTTTTTTGCATTTTTATTAGAAAAAAAAATCTGGTAGAAAAGAAAACATTTCTCAAGACTTTGTCATTTTCATGCATACACAACTTTGCATAAACGCAGGCACCGCGTAGGGTTTGTGTGTAGGTGGCACTAAATTTTCTTTGCCACCTTTAATAAATACATTGCAAACTGACCATGGCAATGGAATGAACTTGTAAAAACAACAAACATCAATTTAAGTGTCAAGAAAGAATTTTTAAAAATCTGAAAAAAAATATTTGGAAATCAGATGACAAATTTACATATTTGAAGCATCTCCTTATGCAATATATATATTTTACTTCTAAATCAAAATAAAATTAAATGGTTTTAAAAGTAGAATAATTAGAATCAGTTTTAACTAATAGAATGTCATTTTCATGGATTGTGTTAAAGGTAATATAATGACAGATTGTTAAAAAAACAAAAAAGCTAATGAAAAATAGACAAAAAAGGAATGGAGATGATAAAAGAAAAGTATGGTTATGTCCAAACCATAAACCCATCTTCAAACAATAAAAAATAGAAATGAAAATTTAGAAATTTGAAAAGAAGATGGTTTTTAAATAAGAATGACAAATATGCGTATAGATGAATATAGAACAATGTATAACTTATTAAATAAATGTTAATTTTGATTTTAATCAAACATTTTGCCATCTTTTTAAATAAGGACTGCAAGCAAGTTTTAATTTAAACAGGCAAAATAAAACAAAATATATGCTTATTTATGTTTTAATAATAGCCTGAAAATAATGTGAATTCGTTAAACAAAATATTAAACATTTATACAATTTAAACAGGGACACAAGCAAGATAAGGTGGGTTTTAAAATTTACTTCACAATAAGTTATTTATAAAATTTTGTAGAAAAAAAAGTGATTTTCTTCTTTTTAAACTGAAAGAAAAGAAAGATTATGGTGCAACACAGGAAATGGTGAAACAATAGTGAAACAAACCACACACAGGCAATTTTCCTCTTAAATGCACTAAATTGATGTGTAGAAAAGTGCTGAAGAGGAATAAAATTAAATAGAAATTAGCATGTACACAACAGAAAAATAGAGGTTTCTGTAGTAGAAAAAATGTTCCTTAAAATACAATAAATGTAGCTTAAAAATATTAACAGAAAAATTATAAAATAAACGACAAATATGTTGAAAAAGCTTTTAATTGAAGTAAAGGAAGGTGGCATCATTAGTCTCCTGATCCTGAACAACAGGGGAGGGGCAAATTTATTCTGCCCAGGATTGTGACTTTAAGCCATCTTTTAAATCTCCCGCCAGTGCCAGACACGCTGCTCCGACTCAGGGCGGATTAACTAGTCTTCCTGACTGGTCCCATTTTCTGTAGGGAGCGGCAGCTGACATGACTCAGTAGTTAGGCCCCTCCCACTTCTCAAAGGCTGTTTCAAAGAAGGTTGCCTATATAGCGTGGTTACTGTAGCTGACATATGTTGGTTTGCTGGCCAGAGCTAGAAGACAGACATAAATGAAAAGATAAACATTTTATATTTGGAGGCTTAGATGTATACAAATTTCAAGTACATTTGTGGTATTGTCCACTATGGGTACGGTTATATTATTTGAGTCTTTAAACAAAAGTCTGCTTTGTCAAACGACTGTTAGACTAGTGTATTACAACAAAATTTAGTTAGCCTGAAGAAAATATAGTTTTCGGCTATTTGGGTTTTGCTTTGCCGTGTTTCACATGGAAACAATTTCATCCACGTCAATGTTTCAGGAAAAACTATTTGGATGACAAATGGCAAGAAATTTGGAAAATTAGTGTACCACAAAATATATATATATATATATATATATATATAACATAAATATTGTATTCATAATTTGTAGTACACTGACAGGTATATATACTTTTCTTTTTACTGCTCCTGTGTTCACCTCTATTGGTAATTTCTTCACTTGGTCACTTAATGTGGTAACCAAGTGGCACAAAATGCAAAAGATTTAATATATTGAAAAGGATGCTAATATTTTGATATATTGATATATATTTTATATTTTTATGATACTTTTTTATTTTAATATTTAAAAAAAACATTTTTTAAAGTTTATCCTAGAATATTAAATCATTTGAAAAGCATATGCTTAAACAATAAATCAAGGCCTTAATCTATGAATAAAATCGACATTTAGTGGCTCTCCCCTAACCATTAATCAAATATTTTTCAAACAATAGTCTTTTTTTATGGTATCTTGGATTGCCTAGGAATTGAATACTTTTAGATACCTGTATGAACTACTAAAAAGAAAGAAAAGAAATGAAAAAAAAAACCTTTACACCTAAATTGCTGAATTTTTTATTATCAAGTTTAAATTCTTTCAACCAACCCTGATAGCATTGTTCATGTGGAGTGATTAGTAAGTAGTACTCTTCAACTGCCAATTTTTCATTTATCAATTTAATTTATTTTTTATGTCGTAACTCCAATACACTGGTAGGTGGTTCATAGTTTCCATGATTTGAAGTGCCTCCTAATTATAATAAGAAGAGGTAACAGTATTTGTAATAATTATTCTACCTTAAATAGCTCTCTTTTCATTTTATGACTTTTTGCATCTCTTTTGAGTCTCTTTCTGTCTTTTTCCATTTTATCTTTTTAGATTTGTCTTACTGAGCGGTAAGTAACAACATCATTTTCAGTATATCAGGGTAACTCAGAGGCATCTTTAAATCTCTAACCAAATTCACTATACTCTGTAGTTTACAAAACCACTTGATCTGAATGAGCGCCAATTGGAATATACTCAAATGGGCACGAAGGAGTTTGAAATGGATCCAGAATTGTTCAGAAAGTTATTCCAGAACAGTAGAGCCAGATTAAGATTTCCAGGGCCCTAGGCAGGATGCCCGATTGAGTGTTGTGTGTGGTGGATGAATGTTGTACGTGTGTAGGGGATACTGAGTTTTGTGTGTGTGTGAGTGGCATAGTGGTCATAGTGTGTGTGTGTTGAGGAGGCTGAGAGCAGTATATAGGGAGGCTGAGTGTGCCTGTGTGTGCTGGAGTGTAGTGTGTAGTGGATACATTTTGTGATTGGAGGAATCAGTGTTGTATGTATGTTAATTTGAGTGTCTTTTTCCTCCCTCCTGCTTGCCTTTCCTTGCTGGTCCAGTGTAGAGTGAGGTGAATTCTTTGAAGTCTTGTTGAGGAGCATTGTGGTCTGCACCAATATTGGGTGCAGATCATTTTAGCAGCTCCCTCACGGTACCACCATCTGTTAATGACTCAAAGCACTGACTGCAGTGCTCGGAATCATTGAGAAGTGCTATGGAACTGCAAGGGAGCTCTTAAAGTGATCTGTAATTGATAGAGGTGCAGACCAAAAAACTTGCTCTAGCAGATGAGGGAGCACAGGGCTGCCAGCTCAAGGTGGGTCACTTCATAGCCAGGGGTCCAGGCCCAGACATGAGCATCCTGGGCCTCTGTTTGATAGCATACCCTACACAGCCACCTATTTCACTTTATAGATAATGTGACATTGCGAAAAATTTCCAAACTATAAATAAAAATATAAGTAATACTTATAGGATAATACAGTTTGTTCTAGCATCATTTGTTTTAAACTCTCGCACCATAGCAGAAGAGCAATATGATTGGGTGGAATAACCCAGGCAATCACTTTGGCTGTAATAACCCAGGCCTTACATTGCCATGCCATGCATTGGTGTAAATCATATGTGTTACACATTTAATTACATTTTATGGCTAATAATGTAGTGGTCAGGATTTTCCCCCTGTTTTAATAGTTGTAGTGGGTATTTTTGTGATTTATTATCTTTTAGATTATTTCCATGACCAGAAAGGCTCATTTGACAAAAAAGGCAATGAGTACAATTTATTTTTTTAATCTCATTGTTAGACATGATATCCTAATAGATATCCCACATATATATTTAGTGTACAGGGGTGGAAGCAAGGACAATAAAAATTGTAATAGTACCATGTTAGCCAGGCATCCTCTGACATGCTATGGGGGTGGCTGCAATTTTATGTCTAGAGACTAGTCATCAATCAGCATTTCATGGGGGTGGCTGTAATATGATGCTGGGTAATAAATATGCTGCTCCTGTATTAGCTTACTCAAAACTAGCATATATCACTATAAACTAATGAGTAGGTTTATACAAATAGTAAATATACATCCTCATACATAGGCAGTTGTACGTACAAAATAGAGTATAACAATAGCTTTTCTCTGTGCATTTGTGCATGTCTAGTACTGGGCAAATGTGAAAAACAGACAGAGCACGGCACTCTGATTTCAGCAGCATGTTTAAGGATTCAGCCTGTGGGACATCTCTTGACATTGAACTTCTGAGTGAGAAGATGAATCCTGACAGCATAATTAGCTGTATGCTGGGTTTTCTGAACATCAGCACCAATAGGGGTTAGAGGGAGTTTTTCATATACAACTGTTTATTTAAGGGGTACGTGACCCAAGGCAGTGACAGCTTTATGACTGTGTTATGTAGTGATAAGCCGGTAAATGTTTGTGTAATTGATTTAATTCAGACAGATTTTAGCTATGCATGTATGTCATAGAAAAATAGTCTAATTGTAGTTTAAGTATTCATGCTTTGATAATCTATTTCTGGGTTGATTATTGTTCTTTATGTTAATTTCTTTTGTACGGTTTCTTATTTGGTGGTATTGTTTTCTTGTTTATTTTTTGTTGTAATCAACGGAGGGCATGGGGATATGATTCTTCTCCAGAAACTCTAGTGAGGAGTGATGAAAGAGGTAAAACCAACCCTAAGTCATGATAATGTAGCTTTTAAAATCTTATGTGTTTATAAAAAAATGTGAAAAATAAAACATATGTTAAAGAAGTTGATTAGCGTCTCCACTTGGCTTTTAAAACAATCATATTTCAACAAGAAGATCCAAAAATAAATGAAAAGACCTTTATTGAATAAGCAAATTTTTGTACCAAATTACCTATTTCTATATATTAACTTTTTCGCTACCAAACACATTTTAAATGAAAAATATTAGCATTCATTTTTTTGAAGCAAAGGATGCATAGCTAACATAATAAAATACAGCAATTTTGTGTGTAGACCAGCGGTTCCCAAACTATGTGCCACAGATGGGCGCCGCAGAATGTTTCCTGGGTGCTATGATCATATGATCATAGCACCGAGAAAATAACCGTGCCTTGCTTCACTCTCCCCTGCCGGCTCTGCAGGGATGGATGGGAGATCAGAGATCTACCTCACTGGCCTGCTAGCATTGTAATGCTGCACCC